GCTTGCATGTCATCAGAAGTTGTTTTAATTTAACGTCGAACGTCGACATCGCGTTGGCGTCTGCCATTCGTAAACAATCGCGTTTAAAATCACCGAAAAATCGTCGAATATAACAATAATATCACTAAATCCCGTCTCGGAGGTGCCACGTTTCGCAAAGTACCTGCCTCCCGGTATGTATCTGCGAAAAATTCACTCTACTCACAATAAAAATCACTGAAAATGTCGGAATATAAAAAATATATTGATAAGCTCTCGCTGTTGTTTTCCCGCTACATACATAATTAGTATTCCATGTGCTCGCGTGTAGCACACGCGAGATGTCCACGTAATTCCCTTCAGTTCCGACAATAAACAGGGTTTGCAAGCTTGCCTGTCAGTGCGTTGAATGTTTGATGGTGAACGGTTGTAGCTTGACAAGATGTTTGGTGGACCAAAAAGCCGTATCAGTTTTCATATTCTTCAAGATTGTGGACGACGTAAGTTTTTATTTCGTTCTGATTAAGATTACCTAAAGCCTGGTTTCCATATGGTCGTAACGGTCGTAAAGATTGAGTCACGATCTTTTTCATCCGCCGAAGTACAACATTTTAGAACTGAAAATGCGCGGAGTGATTATAACTAGAGAATAGTTATGATTTACATGTGGTTTACAGGTATAAACAATAAAAATAGGTCCGCAAGGCGTACATGTGTCTCTCACCCGAATGTACAGACTGTGCGTTCCCTCTTGTTGTACGGTCACAACATTATCGCGGGGGCATGGTCTGGGGTTATGTTTGTTTGCCTAAATTTCAAGTCCTTGAGAGCTGTTTGTTCCAACAACTGGAAGAACAACTGAAAGGTTCAATCCAAGTTCTTTTTGGTGCGATAACCAAACAAGTAGAAGGTGCCATAATTAAGCAAGTAGAGCAAAAAGGCAAAGCAATTCCCAATTATTGAATTTTTTGTAATTCAAGCTGCTCAATGATTGCAACCTAACGGCTAACACACAGAAACTTACAAGACCAATGGCAATATATCTTATTTTATTATATACACAAGGTCTGGATATGAGGTATTCTGCAATCTGATTGGTTCTCTACTAGCAGGATATTAGCTCATATCGTGCTAGTAGAGAAAAACAAAATGGCGGCTCAAACTGAATTTCCGAGGTTTTGCGAATGAGAAAACAGCAAGTTGTTCGGTTTTAATAGCCTTTACAAGTTTAAAAATACAATGAAAAAACTCTCTCAAATTGTTTACAGGATAGCAAATGAATTTTTTTTTTAATTTAAAATAGTTAAAAATATATATTTTTGAAACAATAATATTGGCCGAAAGAGCGAAGATAAAAACATAAACAAAATAGAAAAATATTGAAAATATCCGAAAAGCAAAGTCTGTGAATTCAGACCTTGTGTATATAATAAAACAGTTATTCCACTCACTCTCGTCGAATATGAGCGATAGCCGATTCGGCGCTACGCGCCTCATCGGCTATCAGTTCATATTCGACTTGAGTTCGTAGAATAACTGTTAAGTATATAAGAAGTATGTATGTTGATAGTACATCAGGATTCAGGAGAAAATTGCAATAAAGAATTACCAGTATCAATCAATTCTAAAGCAGGCACAAAAATACCAATTATTGAAAGAGTGCATACTGTATTTATATCCTGCTGTTCACTAATAGTCTATCACACGCCTTTTTAGAATGTACATAACCCTTTGAAATCTGACAATGGCCATAAGCTCTGAACAGCTTTGTTGGGATATAAACTTCGGAATTCCTCATTTCTGACCAGGTTTCTCACAGCTCGTCAATGTTTTGACATGTTTCGGCAAATGTAAATCGTATTTCCGGTCAAAAATATCCCGCTGACTTCATTAACATCGCAACAGATTGAAATACGGAAATAAAAGATCAAAAACTGAGGCTACAAGCTTGAACATAATTCTGTAAATAGTGCTTTTGATTGTGAATCGAACAAGATGACAAAGAAAAAGATATGTTCGAAGGGGCCGAATTGTGTCCGGCGAAGTGTATATATGCTTTAGTGATACATGTTTACATTTTTCGGTAATTCAAGTTTTTCAAATATGATATTTCTTGGACCCTCAAAGGCCATAAATCGCGATAATGTTTGTCTTTGGCTATTAAAGCTATCGCCAGGACTCACTGTCTTGATATTTTTTCACTGAATCGAAATATCGAATGGTGGTATTTTCATCTACATATTATTTACTGAACCGAATATATGAACCTGCAAAATAGTATTCCACTATCGACCAAGTTTTCTCTGGGCCTGTCGGCCGGGAGTTAAAGCTAGAACATTATTTACAGTTGATTTCATATAACTTTTCCGTGAATGTTGCGAATTTCGAAGTTCAAATGAATTCACAAGCCCGCATGTAAACAAAGCCTCCAATTGGCTTATTTTTGTTAAGGGACCAATCAAAGGCTTTGTTTACATACGGGCTTGTGAATTTTAGTATGAACGTTTGAACTTCACAACGAAGTTCGGAACGAAGTTCGCAACATTCGCGGAAAAGTTATATGAAATCAACTGTAAAACACACATGTCTACCATGCGCCTTTTTAGCATAGGCGTACGAGGCGGGGGGCTGGGGGGGGGGCGGCAGCCCCAAGTTAAGTACAAATTGCCCGACTAATGAATATTTCTAACTAAAGAGTCGGGCAATCTTCCTGTGTACTGACTAATCAATTTGATCTTTCCAACAAACAAATGTTATTAATAGTAAAAATGCGAAGTATTTAAAAATTTCCAAACTAGAATATATGCTTGCATAAAGGTGACAAAAATAATTAAAATAAACATGCTTTTTCATTTGCGCTACTGGTATGTACCGTAACTGATTGGCGCGCGAGGTAAGTAGCGCTAAACAGACATCACTCCCAACGAATCGTGAAGAGACTTTATCATTTTAAAGAAAATCATATATTAAAGCTGTTAATTGTAACAACGTTGTTCACCATGTAGTTATTAAAGACTGCTAGCGTATGTCAGCGTATGAAAAATATCACTCATGCCCTGGTATACGCTGACATACATTTCAAGCACGGTCTCATACGACGGTATACGCTGGCATACGGCGAGGCCCGGCGAGACAGAAAAAGTTTTTAAACATGCTTAAAAATTTTTTGCGTATTCGGACGTATGTTTTATACGACAAGCTTGCTCTAGACGCCCGCTGAATACGCTAGAGGTACGCCAGATGTACGGTACTCATACACTGGCATTTCAACGGACATGGACTCCAGTCTTCTATAAAGAAAATTCCATCTTGGCAACGATTCCAACTACGTCATTAATATTCTGTAGAGGGATGTTTCAGTGGGTAACGAAGTGTGAGGACGTACGTTCGTTCCACAATGGGTCAAGACAGAATCATTGATGTTTTTGGCCAACGAAGTCACCGTGCCTCGCATTTCTTTTGACAGTATACATACTGATATAATACACGGGATAAACTTGTTGCGGAGATTAGGTTAGGTTTTCGGTAAAAGTTACATTTATGATATTGAAATAGTCATCAGACATGGTCTTGTTTCATGAGCGCAATACAAAATAAATAAAATCGAATGAAAATCCAATAAAAACAAAGAGTCGTCGAATGCTCGAGTTGACGATAATTTCTGAAAAATCTTTACATCCGACGGACTGACATGGATTCAGTACTGTTTCCCCAATATAACTCGACCGGGGACTGGGCACGAAAAAGCAAGAACGTCATGTAACGTCAAGAATAGGGAGCTGCCTCGCTACGCTCGGCAGCAATTAACGTAATTGAAATACCATATTTACAAAACAAATTACATAGTTACCGCGCTCAAGAAAAGTGTATACATTACACATCTCAAACTCATCAATAATTCATGAGCAAATTAGCGAATGAACTCACCCTAATTCGTCACATGATTGAGGTTGGATACCGCAAGGAAACACGCTAAAAATCATATACCATCACTGTTGTTAGATGAAAAACGGTTTTCATCTAATAACTGAGATCCTAATTACAAATTCAAGTCAAAACACAACAATATACTATAATAATATATATAAGCCAATGAAATGTTTTCGCTTGAGATGTTGTGTAAACAACTCGTTTCTCGTGTTTCATCAGGGGACCAAACACTCGAAAACAATAAAACACTCGAGCTTCGCGCTCGTGTTTCATACAGTTTTCTCGTGTTTGGATCCCCTGATGAAACACTCAAACTCGTTGTTTACATATAACATCAACATACATTTAAAAATCTCATTAATAATTCATGAGGAAAAGACCCAGGAAATCAGGACCCTGTCGGTTGTTTCATATGTGATAAAAAATCATGTTTATTTACATAAACTTTAGCTTTGATTTTCTCGGCTTATATTTATTTAATTCAAATGCATGACCTATTTACAGGTATTGTTAGAATATAAGTATATATAAGAGATATAAATTTATAAATCAATATACGTACTTAAAAAACGTAATTAATAATTAAAAACTATTAATAATTCATCATGAGAAAAGACAAAAGAAATCACTGCCGTGTCAGTGGTTTTATATGTGATAAAAAATCATGTTTATTTACATAAACTTTAGCTTTGATTTTCTCGGCTCAGACAACGTTTATTTTTAAAATTACTTCGCCAATGAACCCATCAGATGGGTCGTTTTTTAAGCCATATCTAATAAAGCTCCTGCTCGTGTTTCAAATAGTACATAACAATGAATACTATTGCTTGATGGTTGTTTCTAGATCGTACTTTGGTCATCCCACTACTACAATATTTCATTAATTTGGGAAACACTTCATATTCCTGATGGAAGTTTCACATATCATTTCACATGTGAATTTTTTGGTTGAACTGGAACAGTTGAAATGTTAAATTGCTCATTTCATATGACAAATTCAGAATCTTTAGATATGCAATTTGAGTTTCACATATTCTTTCAAATGGGAAAGTAAGGCTTCATATGTGAAAACTAATTTAACATTGGAACAATTAAAATTGAAAATTCATTCGCCTACGTTTAACCATAGGTGAAATTTTCGCAAGGGACTCTTTCACATGGACCATCAATGGATTCGCCAACGCCTCATGAGCATAAGGTCTATCATCAATGTTATGACTGATCAACCAAGAAATAAACTTTCGAACGTGAAGATCATGAAGCATGTGCAAGTTAACAGGATTTCCTTTCGAAATGTTTATCATTCGTTCAAGCACAGGACCAAAAGGATGTTCACCTTTGGTCGAAATGAAGAAAGCGATCATACCTGCGACCTGAACATCAGATTTCTTTTTAAGACGTCCTATCTCTTCTTTACCTATTGCTTCAATTACTTCGGTGGGCATCCAGTCTCGGGTTCCTTTCGCATGTGTAAGAACTGTGGTTTCTTCTGCATTCAAAACACGACTTATTCCGAAGTCTGCCAATCTCATGTGACCTTCGATATCGACCAAGATATTTGATGGCTTCAGATCTCTGTGCAAAATTCCTTGACTGTGAAGAAATTCAATTCCGTTTAAGATTTCTTTGATCATTCTTAGACCATGATCTTGTAGATAATACAAACTTTGAGTACAAACGTGCTCCTTCAATGTTTCTTCACAGAGATCTAATACTAGATACAGAAAGGCAGCGTCTTTTAAAACTGTTCGATAGCTTACTATAAATGGTGACTTGTTTGCATCAATTCGACTCAGAATTTCTAACTCGTTTTGAGCTGTATCGTCAAACTCCTGTTTCAAGATCCTCTTTACAGCCACTTCAGCACCATCTTCCATGATACCAACAAAAACAACTGTACCCATTGAACCTTTCCCAAGCATCAAAGACTTCTGCGGTGAAAAGTACTTCAACGGTGGTCCAACCTACGGTAGAGAAAAGCACTTTTTGTCACTTTGACTGACTAATAAGGTGGTGCTAAATGGTTTATAGAGAGGTTTTGAATTCAGAACTATTCCCATTCTTGAATGAAAAGTTACAGAATTATCTTACCACGTCAAGTACTTACTCAGCTGTCCCTTTAAAGCAGTAATATTATGGGAAAATCCGTGAAACGTTTCTTTTTCGCTTTCACTTTATATAAGAAGACAGAACAAACATACGATGAGAATTGGTAAGATTCAAGGCAAGTCTGTTCTAATTGTTCTAATATATGTTATTGCTTTCATTAGCAAATGCTTTGCTTGTACGTGTTGGTTTACCATGTTTTATACGATTATCATGTTTTATATGATATTTATGAAGTGTTATTCCTATAAACATGTCATTATGTGTGTAGTTGATATTATGTCATTTGAACATGACATTAATTAAGGGCTTGTGCTCATTTTCGTTTTACCTCAAAAAACCACAACAGTCTGTTTCATCCGTATAGGAATCATGACCACCTGATGATTCCTATACGGATGAAACAGACTGTTGATGTTTTTTGAGGTAAAACGAAAAACTATATTATTACGCTCTATCTATATGGTATTGAGCACTGTTTGTGTTTCGTAAACCAAAAACTTAAGCTATATATATATATATATATATATATATATATATATATATATATATATATATATCGTCTGTAGTTAGATATCGCTCTATGGCCTTTAGGTCATATTGAGCGCTCTACAGGATTAGCCATGCCGCTTACGCATTGCGCACGCTCATTGCTTGCAGTTTGAGCGCTCTGGATGGTTTTGATGTCCCACAATCGTGAGGCATCAAAGGTAACTGTAAATAGCAGTTACTTTCATCCTGCTCATTAGCACTACACTGATGAGGCCCATAAGGCCGAAACGGTACCGTCTGTAGTTAGATATCGCTCTATGGCCTTTAGGTCATATTGAGCGCTCTACAGGATGAGCCATGCCGCTTACGCATTGCGCACGCTCAATGCTTGCAGTTTGAGCGCTCTGGCATGGTTTTGATGTCCCACAATCGTGAGGCATCAAATATAACTGTAAATAGCAGTTACTTTCATCCTGCTCATCAGCACTACACTGATGAGGCCCATAAGGCCGAAACGGTACCGTCTGTAGTTAGATATCGCTCTATGGCCTTTAGGTCATATTGAGTGCTCTACAGGATGAGCCATGCCGCTTACGCATTGCGCACGCTCACTGCTTGCAGTTTGAGCGCTCTGGCATGGTTTTGATGTCCCACAATCGTGAGGCATCAAAGGTAACCGTAAATAGCAGTTACTTTCATCCTGTTCATCAGCACTACACTGATGAGGCCCATAAGGCCGAAACGGTACCGTCTGTAGTTAGATATCGCTCTATGGCCTTTAGGTCATATTGAGCGCTCTACAGGATGAGCCATGCCGCTTACGAATTGCGCACGCTCACTGCTTGCAGTTTGAGCGCTCTGGCATGGTTTTGATGTCCCACAATCGTGAGGCATCAAAGGTAACTATAAATAAGAGTTACTTTCATCCTGCTCATCAGCACTACACTGATGAGGCCCATTAGGCCGAAACGGTACCGTCTGTAGTTATATATATATATATATATATTGCGTAAAGGCCTCACATCATGCCATGAGTACACTCAATCCATCTACGACGAAATCACAAAAACCGGCAGTCCGGCAAAAAGAATGATGGTCATTTCAATATATATATATATATATATATATATATATATATATATATATATATATATATATATATATATATATATATATATATATATATATATATATACCTCGCTGATATCCTCAAACCTCTGTTGAGTACATCACCACACTCTGTTAAGAATGTTGACGCCTTTCTGTCGCGCGAAAGTAAAAGACATCCACGTTGAACCTGATGAAATCTTGATTTCCTTTGATGTTGTCTCTTTGTTCACTTCCATCCCACTTGACACTGCACGACTAATAACTGAAAAACTACTTACTAACAATACTTCGTGGCAAACAAAGACAGAACTTAATATACAAGACATTCTTGATTTACTTGACCTATGCCTTTCAACTGAATTCTGCTTCCAGAACAATTACTACCGACAAATCTCCGGCACTCCTATGGGGTCACCACTTTCCAGTTTCCTTGCTGAGGCAGTGATGCAAGATCTGGAAAGTAAAGCTGTTACAAACAATGACGACATTAAAACATGGGACAGGTATGTAGACGATGTACTTGCTACTGTCAAAAAGGACAAAACAGACGACATCCTACTAACAATTAACAACACCACTAAGAACATCAAATTTACCAAAGAGGAAGAACATGACAACAAACTCGCATTTTTGGACGTCCTAATAACAAAAACAGACAACGGCACTTTATTACCACACAAGTTTATCGCAAGAAAACACACACTGATCAAATTTTAAATTACAATAGCAATCACACAACACAACACAACACAACACAACACAACACAACACAACACAACACAACACAACACAACACAAAGTCAGTTGCATAAAGACTCTATTCAACAGAATTGACACACATTGTAACACTGATCAATCCAAACAAGACGAACGCAAGTATTTATACTCTACTTTTTACAAAAATGACTACCCTTTAGACTTCATTAATAAGGTGCTACAACATAAACAACAAACTAACACGGACCGACTTAACCAAACAAAAACGAGAATTACACTTCCTTACATACACACTACATCAGAAATGGCAGCTAGACTCCTCCGACCTTTCAACATTGACGTTGCACACAAACCAACATGCAAACTTAGGTCCAACTTCACTAAACACAAAGACAAGACACATATAACGGATAAACATAACGCCATTTATATCTTCCTGCGCAAAAACTGTCTGGATAAGTACATTGGACAAACTTCTAAAAAGATTCAGACAAGACTAACAGAACACCAGAACGCAATCAACAGACACGACCATAGCTCACTTTCAGCTAA